AAAACATAAACAACAGAAACAGCAAAAACAAAACACAGTTATCATCACTTCAGTGCAAATTCGTATATCAAACTGATACTTAAAGACAGCTGTAACATGCAGCTCTTGCACTGTAGGCCCTTCAGGTCTAACAAAGTACCAAATACCTGACAACAGGTTATCTAACAACCCAAGCTCGGTACTTCCTGAACAGTTATGGGAAGGGCAACAGCCCAAATGGCTCTGTGCTGAAGGAAACCAAGTTGAATGAGGGTCACAACAAAGTTGTTTACTTATTTTTAAAGAGGGTACTTAATTCAATACTATACAAAGAAAGGGGTAATTTACATGCCTCTATGGTAACATTTGGAATGTAAGTCACGAAACCATTAATAAGTCCCAATTTAAGTTACTTTATTGAAGTGCAAATATACTTTTGAGAGAGCCGTGTGTAGTTTAAAATTCTACCACTTCTTCCGTATTCTGTTCATAGGGAAGAGTTCTGCGTGATTTCAGGAAGAGACCCTCCTCCCTTCCACTTCATTATCATAGCATCTTTACAGCTGGAAAAGACCTTCAAGATCCTTGAATCCAGCCGTAAACCCATCACCACCCTGCCTGCTAATCCATGTCCCAGGTGCCTTATCTACACGTTTCTTAACACTGTCAGGGACGGTGACTCCACCACTTCCCTGGGCATCCTGTTCCAGTGCTTGACCACTCTTTCCGTGCAGAAAATTAGATGGACCAAAAGGCAGCAGCTGTCTTGGCAGGTACCAGCAGCAGCATCAGTTTTTATTTGCAGATTAACCTGACCTTGCAATCCTATAATCTACATGCAGCAGCTAAGGATCTGCAACTACCTTCTGGGTAACAGCGAACTCTTAGTGGTGCAGTATCCTTTCTTTTTGTTGCAGCTAAACGAGAGCCACTACAGCAACTACCTTAGCACTGGAAGGGAAGGAATTTTGAGGAACATCATTTTCGCAGGTATGTCAAACTCTATGAGCGGTCAGGTAAACATATATTTATACACGCACACAGAAAGCTCTAAAACAAAGGCTAGTTTGAAACATATCAGAAACACATTTGAAGCCTATCTATTTATCTATTTAAAGCATGATCAACACCTCATCATGACCTCCTCAGGTGTGGTGAGGGCACCCTGTGCTAACAGAATAAAATCTGTAGAGGCGATTTAATGAGGAGTAAACAGCTCTCAAACAAAAGTTAAGTCAATCAGGAAGAAATAAAGAGGTAGAAAGTTGCATGAAATAAACATCAGCTACAGGAGAAAAGGCTGTCTAGTTCTAAAAAGGAGCTAGACATACGCCCAATGTAAAACATGTTGTCACCAGAATAAGAAAGTTCTTCAGAAATAGGTAGGTTTCTCAGAATTTGCCATCTGCAGAGAACACAGCTGTGTAAATAACAAGAACATGTAACCCTGAGAAATATTATTTTCTTCACATCAATGTGTTAAAAATGACAGGATATATTCAGGAATATCCTCTATTTAAAATAAAGTTATGGAAAAAAGTTTTCTTTAATTCCATATTTCACACAAATAGCAACTACAATTTCAGATTTTTCAATAAGACTTAATTTTCATTAAAAGAAAAGGACTAAAAATCTTAACTGAGCAAGGAGAGTAATTTCACTTATATAACAAACTTATGCAACAAATTGATTGAAATTGTAATGCTAGCAGTAACTGGATAGATTATTTGACCAGGTCAGATACTGGTATTAAAAATAAAATAAGCTGTAATATGGGGGCAGCAGTGTAGGAGCAAAGATTTGCATGAGAGAATTAGAGTAATCCTTCCATGACTTAGTTTTGAGGAATATTTGCAGACACTAATTATATAAGATGAAAAAAAGCTACCTACCTCTCAGTCACTCCCACAAACAGAGGTTATACTGGAGGACACTCTACAAACACCTCCCTGCTCAACTGCCTGTGTTGTACGCAGGATGATTTAGACTTGCGTGAATTGCATTTGTTACCGCTTCCACCTAGTCATTTTTCTCTTCTTGCTAGAGCAAACATTCCAAGGATTTTTTTTCCTGTAGAATGAAGACTAGTTATAGTCCTGTAGTATTCGCTCCTCAGCTTTGTGTATTTTCTCCTATTTTATAAAAAGCAAGTTCAAAAAGGAATTATCTAGCATTTTGAGAATGAGTGAATGACAACAATGGAAAGCATTTGCTAAGAGAGGCAGCCTTCCCCAAACCACTTGTACTTTTAGTAATCCATACTGAGTTGGAAGGGAACTGCTTCTCGTATTGCACTTTGATTCCTGCATCTCCCTTAGGTGCCAGTTGAGGACACACAGACACGGTCTCAACAGCCGCGCTAGCCAGGCGGCAGCACCCCCTGTCCCGACACACGCGGAGAGCCCGGGAGCCACAACCAGGGTTTGGCATCCAGCCCATAAGGACGACGAGCAGAATTCTCCTGCAGACTTCTTGTGACACCTCTGATTGCATTTGTGCATCAACGAATACACTGAACACAGGAAATACATATTTATCCTTAATGCAACTCAAAACAGACACGTAATGTACTTTTCGTTGTGAACGAGTCTCTAACTGCTGTCTTTAAAGCCTTGCTGAAGTGCAAGACTGCATAGCTAAATAAGCAAACATGAGCTAACAGACCCAATAATCTGTATTAGGGATGCACAAACCAACAAAAGAACATTTTTCTCCTTTCCACTGCCCTCCAGTTCAGCATATTCCTACCAGGACAGGCGGATTTCATAACCAAACCTGTTACCATTCTTCATTCTGCACCTAGAGATCCCACACTTGAACAAGTTGAAGAAAACAAACCAACTCAGAGGGAAGTTTGCTGTTTAAAATACTTTCTTTCAGATGCAGTTGAAATGATGCAAATATGTTGTCAGCAGAGATGGAAGTCTTTGAAATAATTTACTAATATGACTATTGTGGCTTTCCTGCCTAACGCACATTTGCTTTGAAACCTACACATTTCTGCTTGTGCAAGCGAAGCCTGTAGGGGCTTACAACGTCCACAGCCAGCTCCGAGCTCCTCCTATTGAACGAGAGCATCTTTTGTGCAAGATACAACACAGGCGAGGAACAAAGTACAAAATTGCCTGCAATTAAGAAATCATCCAATTCAGTTCAGGACTGGCTGTTGGAGATGCAGAATAAGTTGCCTGTTGGCTTCATCAACAGGCAGTGTCACTGGTATGAGTATCAGGTATTCAAATTTTCTCACACTGCATGTAGAAACCAGGAAAGTGCTACTACCTTAGCAGTGTTTTCACAAGCTATTTAAGCTCAGAATAACACCCCATGTTTCTTCTCGAAAAGCACTTTTAGAGCACTTAGAGAAGTAAAATGCGCTCTGGAAAGGCTATGCAAATTAAACTATTAGGCGCCTAGAGGAATTTTAAAAAGCCATATAATGCAGGAATCCTTCTCTTATTCATTTCTCTTCAAGATCCTGTGCATTCTTTTGATTGCTTCCTTGACATGATTCAGTTGTAAGATTTAACAATATTCAAATGCATCCCAAGTTGCAATTATCTTGGATAATGAAAAGCAGTATTTCATATCTACTGGTCTATCTTTGGCATTTCAAGCACTTATAACTTTGGACAATATCAGCTTTTTAAATTACTTTGGTACCTGTGAATAAAAAGTCCACAGCTTTTACTACACTAAGCTACCAGATCCTATTTTTAGCTTTACTCTTGCTTGAGAATACATGATGTGTGTGTTTAGCACACTAGTTATTTACAGTCATTCTGTTTAATCAAAAAGCCAATAAAAAGTGTTACGCAAAGACAAAAGTAACCATGTAATTTTTATTTCCATATACCTGTGAAAGAACCTCAGCATTTGTTCACACACAAATTTCTAACTTTGTGTTTACAATTACCTTACCATGTGATAATTCATTTTATGTTTAAAATAGGACATCATCCCATTCACTATTTAGAGAGGAGATACGGGCTGAGACCATATTCCATCATTATTGCTTAGTAACGCCACTAGTTTTGAACAAGGCTAATAACCAACTACAATACAACTCAAAAGAATAACAATGACTGGATAAAGTTCTAACCAGTAAGGATTATGCTTTATCCATAAATTCATGAAAGTAAAATAAATTCATTAAAAAAAAAAAAGGATCATGTTATCTAGCAGCACTTAATAGGATTTGGGGTTTTTATTCTTTTTTTAAAATCAGAGTTGTTTGTGGTCATTAATTCATAATTCCCCCTTTGGGGATTTTAGCACCTAATCTGTCTAAAAACCATCTGTTAACCATACTGAACAGTAAGAAAGCTATTCTATTTTTTTCATGTGACGATTTCAATTCAAGCTGCCCACAGAAAATGGTTACTGACCAAAAAGCAGCAAAATGCGTTTCATCTGCAGAAAACTCATTAGTCAGATCATATAAAATATTGTGGAACTTAAGATTTCATTAAAGAAAAGCAATTTATTTTCACCTAAGTGAATACAAAGTATCTTACTTCAGCTATCTGACATGTTACTTTAACTTGCTTATCGTATCTGATTAAGGTATTGTACATCAAACTGGAGAGGTAAGCTTAACTTAAAGTCCTTTTCACCATCCAAGGGTAACAGAAAAAAGAATTAAAACTACAGTTCTTTCATGGCAATACTATTGCTTATGTAAGAAAATGCTCAGACATCATTTTCTTAATCATAAAGTAGAATATAATTAATGATATCTTATCCTATTTAATTGTATTTATAGTTAAAATATTCTAAAGAACTCCTGTGCTAACATACCTTAAACACAACTGTAAACAGCATTATCTGTTGCCCCTGCAGGATAGCCATTTAGCTTCAAAGATTTAATAATTGACAGCTAAAATGCAGCTTGCCCTTCCGTAAAAAGAAAGGTAAAGCTACTCCAGCCCAGAGATGCAGTACAGAATGTACATGGGTAACATTCCTGCATACATTAAAAATAAAGAAACAGGCTCCTTAAAGCCTACCAAAAGAAAAAAAAAAATAAAGTACATTTGTGTGGAGCAAGAGTTTCATAACCCAGAACACAAGCTTATAAATTAGTCCACAACAGCTATGGCACCAGAGGGGCAAGGACAGTCAACAAGGTCACCCCTGACCGAAGCAGCGCAGCATCGCTCGGCGCAGAGGCAGCAGAGCACCCGCTGGCAGGGGTCACTTGTGCGATCCTGCACCCGGGGCACCTGCACCCCGCGCACCCCATGCCGGGCAGCTTAGGATCAGGTTTAACACAAGGGTTGCTGCACTGCTTCACGCAGTGCAATTCCCTGTGCAGCAATCCAGAGGTCCACTACTTGGTAGCAGTTTTGGATCTCAAGTGCAAAGTGGCCCACAAATTTTAATCTACACAGAAGAAAACACTGGAAACAGGGAAAAGCGGCTTCTCAAAATACTGATTTACGTATTACCAGACTACTGATTTACGAGTTACCAGAATTTTTAAAGATGCTGATAGATAAAGACTGGTGCTCATGAAGCATTTTAAATGAAAATAATTTGTTATATTTTTATCAGGTATACAGCAGAAAGCAAGGAATTTAAAGGCAAATATAGACTATCCTACTTTTTTCAAGAGGAACTTTTCCATCCTCCAAAAAGATGTTGGAGGAGCTGTACCCAGTTTTGGCATCACACAGGAACAAGAGCAGCCAACAACTTTAGAAACTTTGCAGGTGGGGAAGGGGAAGACCTAGAGGTATCAAAAAATGTCAAAAAAACAGGCAAGGGACTTGCAAGAAAAGGTCTCTCAGTTTGTCTATTGGGCAGAAAATGCAAGTAAATGGAAAATACTGAAGTTCGGGAAAGGAGTAAGACTGCACCTATTTATTAGTTTTAAGGATGCTAGCCCAGAGGAAGATAAGAGGACATATTGGAGGCACTTTATTAAAAAAAAAAAAAAAAAGGAAAAAACGAGAAAAGGGAAAAAAGGGAATCTGGTACTTGAACGTCCGAAGATGCTCAGTGTGGATGAAATGAAAGTAGGGAAACTGGTTGATTTTTTCCCCACCAGTTAGTTTACAAATCCAGGAGAAGAAGAAAAAAAAAAAAAAAGTTGTCAGTATCAGGTGAGAAGGCTAACTGCAATCTACAGCACTCTGATATGACTGATATGACTTTGCTTTTTGAAATTGTTAGGAAAAAAAAAAGTCAAAAAAGTCCTACATGAGACATAACCAAGATGAATAGCTCTGTAGCTAGCAAGCTTAGAAGAAATAAGCATTCATAATAAGTCACCTGTATGTCACTCCTATCGTATGTAAACCTCTCTCACATAGGCTTGGATGTTTTTTGGCCAGTGTTGAAACTATTTACACATATATCTCCCTAAAACAAGTCTTTGCTAAATTCAGACAAAATATATCCTTCAGTAAGGAGACATATTCAAGTTAATTGACAGTTACACTGAAACACAATGTAAGCCACTATTCTTAGTTCTGCTGCTGTAAGGTACAACACAAGCAACCTAATATTTCCCAGGCATCTGAGAATATCTAGGGCAAATGAGACCTTAGCGGAGCCTTCCCAAGCACAATGCCAGCCTACGTCCAAAATTCAAAGGCCAATGTCCTGGAAAGGTGACAAACTGAACTCTACACCTACCATTTTACACATCTCTCCAGAATCTCAAGAGGCCCTGGATAAAATGAACTGGATAAAACAACTGGATAAAATGAAAAGGAACAACTTGCCAGCACTAGATGTTATTCCCTTAAGATTTAAAGGAAGTCAAGAGTGCAACACCTGACATGAGCTTTATCAGGCACTCTCCTATTTAAAACTAGATTGATGCTTGAGGAAGTACCTAGTGGAGGCAGATGTTAGAAAGCGCTTTTTTCCCCTTGGCCTTTCCTCAAGTATTTTGACAATTACTACTCAAAGACTGCTTTGTCCATCCTTCCTAACTAGTGTTGCCAGAAACTATCCATAAAAGAAATCTAAACCAACATTGATTAGACTGGACATGGTGACAGGAACAAAGGAGATCTAGAAAGTCTAGATTTTAGAAGAAAGCTGTGAAACACACATGAAACACTGAATGAATGGTACCTATCCAAGGAGAGAGAAAAAAAAAAAAAAACCCTACTTATTCTGAAAAATATATATATAGGTTTTGAAAAAACAAGCAAACCATCCCACTTTATCACATATTCTTTGTGCTATATTTTTGAATGATATCTCCAGAATATGGCTACGTAAGCAGTTAGAAAGAAATATTAATAAATATGGAATACTGGCACTTGAGTCTGTCAGTTGCAGTCCAGTGATAAAAGGGCCACATTCAGCTCTAAATAGTTTCAGGGAAAACTAAGACCAAACTAATTAAAAAAAAAAAAAGCTTATAAGCTTATAAATTTACCAATAGAAGTCTCTAACAACTATTTTAAGGGTAACTTCTTCTGCCAGGAAAGCAGGAATCTACAAGAGTAGCTGGCACTGTACACAGTACACTTCCTTGCACTATGTAGGCTC